CTATATATATATATATATATATATATATATATATATTTTCTACTTCAAGAAATATTATACCGTGGTTTCTGATTATTTTCGCAAAATTAATATGACTAATTTGAAATGAGTTTTATCCCGTAATAAAACGAGTGTAAGCCCTGTTCCGATGAAAGGATTCCTTTCATCCGCCTGGTAAGTGGCCGTCCTTTAAGAGGCGACTCTACATTTCATAGCTAGTTTCCTCTCTTACGTACATCCTCGATGCGCTTCCTCTGCAAAAGAAAGAGAGAGAGAGAACATTTCTCGTTAGTTCACATTCTGTGTTCGTTTCTGGTCGCATGTACGGCGATATCTGAAACACTTTTTACAGCGCGATCCTTCCGACTGTGAAAAAGGATATTTCCCAACGAGCGAAAGAGGTGAAAGAGCGAGCGGGAGAAACGAAAGGAGTTGGACGGGAAGAGAAGATTACGCGTTCAGTGTTCCAGATTTCGCCATCATGGAAATACCTTACAAAGCATTAGCGTAGCGACCGTGTTTTCGCGTGTTTCATGGCGATACAGAGCTAATGGAGTCTGTCTTAAGTGATATAACTTTGTCGCTGTTAAGCGCTACAACGCGTACCCAGCGAGCGTCTTGTAATATCATTTTGTGCAAACTGCCGCGTTTCGCTTATGATGTTACGCGCGCTCTCCATCGCGGCCGGCCATTAGCTCTGCCTTCTACAAGCTGTGCAGATTTCGAACGAACGAGCTGTGCGAATCAAATATAAAAATAATACTCGTAGTCACATGCGGACGTTCAGCACGCGACTTTAAACTTTCATTTCTAAGAGATATTATTAAGGATGTATTATACCTATCTTCTCATCTCATTTTCAATATTTACAATGAAAATATTATATGAAAAGCTTACAGATTATTGTAAATTGCATTTAACAGTAAACAAAGCGTAAAAAGAAGTGTAAGTGAAAATTTAATTTTTATCTACAGAGCAATCTCTACAGATCTCGCAATAAGATTTTACATAAATCATTTTGAATACTTAAAATATCTATATAAAGAAGTGGAGACTTTTATCATTATTTCTTAATCACATTTCTACTTTGTAATTATTGAAATAATTTTTGATCTAACTTTTAAACAGCCGCAAAATTGTTTGTATCATTTTTAAATGTTATCTAAAATAATTTATAATTTTTTCATAATTTTTTTCATTGTAAATAAACATAGATGCAATATACTCTTAAGTATGACACCAATGTGTCATAAATTAAAAAAAAAAAAAAGAATTTTGACGAATGCAATTAATAACGATCACAACGTTTACAAAGCGCGAATAGAAATACAATGACATTTTTTTTCTTTTTAACTAATTTTTCTCCGATTTAAAATATTACTATACGCGGTGCGTGTTGCAAATACAAACTGCACAGTGACATTAGACATATCGTACTTATCTATTTATCTATTTAACAAAAGAAAGAAAAAGCATTAGGCATACATCGTAGAAGAGTTTTGCATCAAAGACAAAAATCACACAATACATGCGAGTTTGGTATCTACTTTACCCAGGTCTTGTTTTGTGTTTGTGCATGTTGCGCGTTCTCGGGAATTCTATGTTCTACTATAATAGTTCCCCAATTAGCTTCGAATCGGGGAAGAAGCGAGGATGGTTACAAGGAAACTGTTAAATGTTTGCTCACGATGACACGAGAAAAGAATGAGAATTTTTTAACGTTCGTAATTATCCCTCTTCACAATACTTCAAATACAATAGCATACACGATAAGTTTCAAGATAAATCATAAATTTTAAGTTTATCAATCGTTAATCGGATGTTTAGTTTGAAAGTTCGAATATTAGGAACTTGTAGCTTCCCGAATAGTCTAAACAACGATAAACAAACTGAAATAACTTTACCTATTAGAAGTTAGCCCTTCACTTTTAAAAGTAACATATTTTGAGAGTTGTACTGAATTGTGTTAGATTTGTGCCGACTTGTGCTAAGCGAGTATATGTTAGATATGCATTCGTATGCTCTTTAGATGACTGATACAAGAATAAATGTCATTTATATATTTTTGTTTCCCAAATCTATTTTTTATCATAACTGCTATTGTTATTATTTTAAAAAAATAATATTTTGGCACAATGTTAGCACAACCTAGCACAACCTAGCACAATCGAGAAAATTGAAAAAAATCGCAAAGTGGGAGGGTTAGCCTAAAATTTCGTTTTTTTTTTCATTTTTCACGGTTTTAAAATTCGAGCACAATGTAGCACAATTCAGCACACTCAAAATAAGTTATTTCTAAAAGTGGGAGGGTTAACTTCTAATAGGTAATAACTTTGAATGTATATTCGACAAGGTATATAATACAAACTTCGTAATTATCAATAGAAAGTTTGTATAAAGAAAAACGTTCCCTGCATCTACATTGCTAAGTTATCGCTCGTGACTCCAAATAAACGAACTATCTGCAAAACTGTGTTCATATAATGGTTTTAATCAGTAAATGGAAGTTCTCTCTACCGATCTCTTCGGTAGATGTTGTCTCCATTGAGTGCTCTTACGCTGAATTTTGCCTCGCGATATATATATATATATATATACTGACAAATATCAAATATTTTCTCGTTTCAAAGACAAAATTTCTCCGTCTTCTCGTGCCGTCGTGAGCGAGAGGAGTTGAGCCGCGACGCGAGAGAACGGATCGTTTTATAAGTATATCCTGGGAGAGACAAACAACGGAAAGAAATGGTAAATCGATCCGGAAAGGATAGGCGATAAAAGTACAGGGTGAAATTATTACGGTACATTGAGATCGACAAATCAAGGAGATCTTCCTGGAAACTTGAAATCTACAATTGAAAATCTGGAAAGATTTTGTTCCCGTAAGGATAACGCCGGTGACAAATAGCTTCTGCTCGAGTAGCAGAAAAGAAGAGATATAAAGTAAAGTAAAGAGATCCGAAACGGGTAGAGAAGTCCGTGTTAAATAATGGCGAAATAAGGGCGAGAGTGTGACGATAAATTAGATAAAAAAGTCAGGCCGTGGAGCATATAACAGGAGACAACGGACATGTCGGTCGTAATACGACCAGTCTCATTTCCCGTTTCCTACAGAGCGGAAATTTTACGGTGAAATTTGCGGAATATATGTTCCCTACCACGGTCGATCCAAAAACCTTCATTAACTTTTACATTTGCGGTTCGCGCCGCGCAAATTGGCTTCATTATACGAAAGAAAACTCTATCCCATCGCACAAACGAAGAATTGTCGTCCGCGAGTCGGACATTACGCAGGAATGATGTCGCAATCATCAAGGCAAAAAACGGTGAGGAATGAATTGCTCATTTAAGAACACAAAGATAAAACCGCTGGAAAATTCATTGTTCAAGAGTCTTATGACGGAGAAAAGATACTTCTTTTGATATATATATATATATAAAATTAAATAACAAATAAAAGGAATATCAAATTGTAAACATGATGAAAAATAAATACGGCGGTGGATGAAACGAAGGCTATGAGGAGGAGGAGGGAGGGGGGGGAGGGAATGAAAAGTTTCTTGCGGAAGGAAAAAGGAGCAAAGAATAATCGCGACGAGAAGCGAGCTTCTATGATCGCCTCGTCATTCTACGTAGCGTATAAATCTTTTTCAGGGCACACAAACTACGTGGTTCATCCTTGACCACCCTATATATCCTCTACTAAGCTTCAAAATGCCACTGGAGAAAAAACGAGGCTCGGTCTGGTCGAAGTCCTCGGAGCTTTGCACATAAAAGCTTCATGTCGTAGAAGTATAATATTGAAGGAAGATGATTTATTCATGGAAATGTGTATTTGAAATTGAATTTTCATATTCTTTTAAAATATATTTTATTACATTATGATGAAATATATTGTATATAATTCAAAATTAATTATCAATTTTTAAGAATTATAAGATTACAAGATTTATTTATTTGATAATAAGTGCTGAGAAGGAATGCACTTAATTTAAATTTTTTTTCATGGGATATTGAGAAGATCTGTCAAATACACCTTCCAAAAATCGGAAGATTCTTCGTGGCACAGAAAATTCAGTAGTAGTTCAGACCACTGTTCTATTTTTATTGACAAGGTATCTATATTATTTCTAACTAAAACTATGCTAAATTTATGCTAGCGATCTCTCACAAAATCACAAAAAACACAAACAATGCATACCTTTCGATAATGTTAATTTTACTGCATGTTTTCAAGACGAATGCATGTGATGTTGCAGTGTTTCCAGTCCAATTATGAAGATCAGCAACAGGGAAAATCCGCATCGAAAAGATGCAATATGTAAAAGAGAGAATAATATTAAGAAAAATCCGATACGCGTTTTCAACGGAATTGCATGCCATGAACTTTTCTCGACTGGTTTTTTTTTTTTTTTAAAACAAAATAAAAAAATAAAATGCGATTAAAAATCCCCAATTCAAATACACACCTAACCTCGTCATCCGCCATGGTGATGTCTTGTTGTTATGCGCGTCTACCTAAAAAATAATTAGAAAACCCAATTGCTTGTGCAAATGCTCGTCATGTATGTACAGTGGTGAAAACCCTCGGTACACCGGCACGCTATTAATAGCATGTACCATCGGAACTTTCTGGTCGTTAAAATAAATAGACCTCTGGCGCGAAACAAGCTCGAACGATAGCCCGCGAAGTGTTCACGTATGCATACGTTTTCACCGGTTGTCAAACGCGGAAACGCTTCCGCGCTTCTTCGTGATACGTAACGCGACGAATTGCAAATGGAGCGGATGAAAATAATGAAGGGAAATGACGTAGGCGGTAAATAGAAGCTCGGACATCCACGGCGCATTGGCTGCATGACAGAAATATATAATGGTGGGCGGCCAGAAGAAATTGATCGGTCGAAGAGAGATCGCGTCTTCGTTCCAATCAGCCTCGCGACAAACGCGATCGATTCTCGATCGCGATGTCGATAAATCATGGAGCTTCACGCGCGCTTCGAACTTCGCCGCTTAACGCGCAGCGGAGGGAGGGGGGGGGGGAGGAGAGGCGAAAAAGCGAGCGCGAGTCGAGCGCGACGACGACGGTATAGAATATCCGGCGCGCGCGAAAATAGACGCCGGTCGTCCCCACTTTCCGCGACGTGCCGTCGTCGGGACGTCGGATACGTCGACGATCCAAATTTGGATGCAACGACCGCGGTAGATATCTCGTCGTCGGAGGACTTCAACTGGATTCGATGTCGAAATGGCGAGACGAGCAGATAAACAAAGTCGAGCACATCTCCACGAGATAAAGAGAGAGAGAGAGAGAGAGAGAGAGAGAGAGAGAGAGAAGCTCGTCGACGAATATGTACGTCAGCACGTCGCGTTATTTGCGAATGACATTTCGTTCGGAGCCCGAGAGATGACGATGCCGGAGGGGAAGATATCGCGCGTATATCAGACACGCCGATCCCTCTTATTAGCTAGACCCTCGTCTCGCGGAACCAACGTCGATGCCGGAGTATCGACTCGCCAGGATAACCCGCCGCGAGGCAAGACACGAGATGCAACGAAGTTTCAAAACAGATAACTTATATAGGTAAACTTCTGTGCCCGCGCAATTGAAATTGTGCAATTCGGTTACGGAGATAACAATTGCGCATTTAGTGGCGCTTATTGCGACGCGCTCGTTGCCGATGCTCCAAAACATTCGAGAAGATGGATTGTATGTGCCTTGTCTGCAGCGACACTCCGAAAATACTTAGAAACGTCACAATTGTAACAAGCGAAACAGTAGGGCAACATTGTGACGAATACTCGAAAGAGTATTAACAAGATATCATTAGTAATATGCAGAGTAATAATATCTGTGTGTACCAGTCCTTTGTAAATATTTTCATAACTTCGCATTTCTTTCTGTTCTTCCTGTTTTCTTGTTTGCCACATAAAATAATTACTATTTCTCTTTATTTGTTTATTAATTAAGAAAGTGACGCAAGATAAATCTTTCCGACACATTTTGAAATTAACCATTAAATAAGAAATATTCTTTAAAAAATATTAATAATTATTTCGAAGTAAACTTTCTAAAAATAAATCTCTCTAAATGTCATAATACTTAGTTTCTATATATATATATATATATATTGTGTTTCGCTCTTTGATCTCTGCGCAGAACATTCCATGACTGACGTGAAATTCGAGCAAACGTTGCATAATCGAGATATAATTTTGTAGACCTGCTTCTCTTGCGTCACGAGTGACGTTAGTATGCGAATTTATCAATGGGAGGACATTATGTAGAATATTTGGATTTTGTAGAGATTATAGAATTATTAAATTCCTATTTCTTTTTTGTCTCCATAAATTCGCTCGTACGACTTGCAGCGCCTTCTTTTATGTTTGAAATAGGCGATCGTCTTCGCTAAGTATAGATTTCCTCGCCCTCGAACCATTCCGAGACACGTCCTGCCCCCGAGACGTGAGAACCGTCTCCGATATCAAAGAGGCAAGCATCGTAAAAATAGACAACTCGCTAAGTCTCATTAAATTATGCGAAGCAGTTAAAAGAAGACAAAGTCCAGCTGGGAGAAGCTATATCCTAGGTCAATGAATCTCGCTAAAATAAGACAAGGATACAATTACATACATAAATTTCTCTTTTGAATTATATAAATCTTAAAAAAAAATCGATTGCAAAATAATGATTAAGATGATAACGATAATGGTGATTTATGAATCAATTACGATTCATTATCGAAGACAAAATTCTACGATTCTTCTTGATGAAGATTAAACTGCAGAATAAGAAGATCAATCAAAGAAGAATCATACGATTGGTGCACGTGTATTTCGTCGAAGCATCCCCGAACAACCCCGATCGACGATCGAGTTGGAGCTGTAAATGGAAGAAGTTCTCGTCCATCACTTTCAACTTCGCGTCACTTTCAAGACGAGCGATCGCACGTCGATGATCGTCGATTCGTCACTGTCTTGGGAGTCTTAGGCGGATCAATCGTCACAACCTTGAAAAGTATCTTTCATACAGCCACTCGTTTCACTGACACTCGAACGCGGGAACCGCTCAACGAACGTCGAAGCAGCATTTCAAGAGCAACGACTCATTTTTGAAGGGGAAGGAGGTATCGCGAGTCTTCATTATTTCCTCGTGGAGAACACGAGACGGTCGATCCCTTCGGGATCCCTTCACTCTCGCGCTGCGACAATGGCATGGAAGAATTTGCGACAAACCGAGAATCGCGAGGACTGCAGGACTGTGGGCTTACCTTGTGGAGAAAGCTCGCTGGCTGCGACTGGCCAACCGGACCTTAGGCAGCTGACTGTGCCATCGTGGATGCCCAGTCGAACCTTCGTGAACCTCCATCGTAGGCCGTTCACGTGGTATAAGCGTGACCAATCACGGCGCGCCGTTGATCGTAAGCATTTTTAGGCGAGAGCCCTGCCCGCTCTGCTTGCTGCCAAAAATAATCGGAAACTGAAAACGGAGTCGAGCCCGCTTGGTACGCGCTAAGCTTACCACTCGCTCGTTCGCCGGATCGCCTTCTGCTCTCGCTCATCGTGATTGCTGTGACCGCTATGAGGCATGGAATGGAACGGTTTTGAACCCTTGTTCGCCCTCAAATGCCACTAATTAAATTGCGATTATTAAAGAATGATATTAAAGAATCTATCGTCTATTAATGAATAACGTTTTCCAATCATCAAAGAAAAGATATTCGGTGGATGTATTCTATTAATTTGTAAAAGTCTGATGTACAAATGCATTCCAGAACGTTTCTATTTATGCATATAATGGATGTAATACTAAAAGGGTTAAATGTTCCTGTGCCAACGCAGGACAGAAAAATATAATATTAATGTTTTTTTACAATATTTATAAATACTCGTGAAATGTATCTTTATTTGTGCCACATATATGAGTGATTTTATTCTTTGCTGCGCTTTGCATCGCATTTTGCGAAAGATCTATTGTTCGAATTAAAAGAGATGCCATTATTCTTGGAGACAAATCAAATACACGAGATCGTCGTGCGGCGAAATGCAATGAAAAATGAGAAGCTTACACCTCGAATCTTGTAAAAACTATTAATGTTCCGTTCACGTAGCTCGGTGAAGAGAAAACTGAGATATCATCTGAATTTATCGTGCTTACAACTGTTGGCTGCTTGGCATTAAAACGTGGTAACGATGACGGAAACGTCGACACGCCCTAACGTAACACAATCATATCGTAATGTCATTGTCGAATTTTAATGAAGCTTAAAATAGAAATTGTGTGTATTACAAATGACTCGCGAAGCATTTTTTATCCACAGAAGCTGTCAAATGCGACATCCCTTTGTAGCGATAATCATATAGAATGTTGGTACTAATAACCATATTTTTATAAATACAAATAGTAGCATATAATCCATTTTATTATTTCATTAATACATTAATACTCACCACACAAATGTTGATGATATTATATTACATATACATACGAAATGTATCTACAATATTATATTTCCCGCAAAGTACTATTAATATCAAAGCTATTAATTATAGTTCTATTTATTCGGATATAAATAAGGGAAACATTTATATCGTATAATTATTATTAACACAACAACAGTATTATATTATATTACTGGATATTATATATGTAAAAAAAAGAAGTAATAACATAATTTTTGAAAAATATTTTGAAAGAATAGAATTATATTAAAGTAATATTCATGGACAAAATGACGCGTATAGTTATTTTATCTTGTATGCGAAGAACAGAGAGTCAAGTAGAACAAACCAACCGAGTCAGCCACATGATGTTACGTTGCACAGGTTTAACACAGGTAACATATCTACGGTAAACTTCATTATCGGTAACATTTCTTCATATTATATTTCTATTATATTTCTTATATTATTATTTCCTGTTGCGTAAAAATCTTACTTGCCTAAGCGCCCGTTACGATCTTCGAAAAATCGATAGATTTACCGAAGAGAAAAGGAAAGAAGTGGAAAAATCGCGCGAACGGACACGTGGTGCATGTCGATACTTGGTCGGACGGTTTAGTAGGAACGGATAATATAGGTCTCTGCGAAATTTTTAACAGATAAAGCTCGCGATGTAGATGCCACGTAATCGAGAAGATGGCGACGCATGGAAGAGAAGCTTTTTCACTATTCGAAGCTTTTTCGCTATTACATTCGTAAAAGACAGACATTTACGCGGCCATACAGTGCGGACTGATAAGGATTGCGCACTATGCAAGTTTTGTCAATGTGCACAGATTATCACGATTACTTCAAATATTTTTTTTATTAATCAAAATGAAACGGGAGACGTAAAGAAATGTCAATTCTGTATAATAAATCCGATTAATTTTTGGAGATGTCCCTCCATCGTACCAAGGTCGACGTTTCTAGCATTTCCTTTGATAAGATACTTTCAAAATAATACGCAACTAGGTGTAAATTTTCCGCCGTCATTTCACATTTCGTAACCTTATTGAAGCTTGAACGATGTTCACATTGATCGTAATCTACTCGTTTAATATCAAGATCATAATTATGTACTCAACACTGCACTGTGCATTGCTCAATCAGCCCTATGTAATTCACCCTCCTCGACACTCACCTCTGATATTAGAGCCTAAATCGCGTACAAGGGTAGTGCACGCGAGCAAAAAAGATGGATTTACATACGTGCAGAAGGTGATAGAGAGAAACAGAGAGAAATAGGCGAACTGGAAGGTAAAAGACAGTGCAGGTTCTCTTGATGCGTGCATCATTGGTGCCGTAACCTTTAACCTATTCCCTCCTGTCGGAAGGGGTCGCAGGTAGAGTCTTTGGGGGGGGGGGGAGGGGACGACGAGGTTGAATGTGGTGCGCTCGAACGGATCATAGGGTAAAAGGGGGAAGGGAAAGCACCTCTGAGCCAAAGGTGGTTGACCCGGCGTCCCTGTTGCCACGACGACGATCCCGTGACGTCACGGGACAAGCCGGGGTTTATGGGTGACCCACATTCCAAAAATAACCGTCACCGACCTGCCCTCCCGCCCGTCCCATCGGCCGTTCTCACCCTTCGCCTTCTTTACCAGCACACATACGCACCCACGCACGTACGCACGCACACGCTCATAGACCAAAACACCGACGCCACCGTCCTCCGGCATATTTCAGCACGATTCTCTCCTCTCTTTGCAGCACATTTTTCTTCCTCTTTCGTTTCTCCTACGGTCGTCTTTCGTGATTGAAACAGGAGGCCGTTGCCGCGCGTCAAACCATCCTCGAGGCCGGACCGACTCCATGTCGAAGAAGAGGTGAAGAGGTCGAGGGGGATGCAGGTGCACTCGAATACCCCTGCAATTATCGATTGACAAGTAACGAGAAACGTATGTATAACTGCACCAAGCGGATTGTATACTATTCTCGTGATCCTTCAAACTACTGTAAAATTATGATGCAAAAGGATTCTTTTAATCCTTGCGAGTTTTATTTAGCATATACAGACTTAAAATAATAGACTCATTAATTTTTTTAAATTTTAATAATTAACTTTTAATTCAAAATTTTATTACTATTGAATTGCAGCTATCTTCGAACATACAATGTTTGCGATAAGTATAGATATTATCGATATTTAGAGACAATATTCTACAATAACACATAATATTTTAAGTGCAAAATATTTTAGCATATTGCAAAGTTTAGCTGCAACTTGCAATTATTATGCTTGTCAATTTGAGAATTGTTCTTTTTAAACGTGATTGTAATCTGTCTGAAATATTACACCGCGACTGTTTATTAAATTTTTCTCATTGTGAATTTGATGATTTTTTTGCCAATTTTCGCGAATGAATAAGATATGAACTGAATAATTTATACTTATTATATCGCTCTAGAATTTTGTTAAATACGAACGAGTTTATCATTTATTTGTTAAAATGTTTCTTACACTCACGAGGGTATATTAATAGTGATCATGGAAGATTTTATCGAGTACTATTGTGTGATTGTATGGTCTTTTATAATAGCCATGGTGGCTAATTAATGCACAATTTAATGTGCTAAAAAATAATAAATAACATCTTTTATCTGTCATTGGAATCGAAGATGTGATGTAATTGTATACAAGATGTACAAGATTAAAGTGATTGTAGATGTTGTATAAATTACATTAAATTTGAGACTAAAAATTTCTATTTATAGTATTACGTGGCGTACATTCTAATATAATATATGCGAATTTTAAAATATATTTTACGCATGTGTATAAAACAATGTGCATTTTGATTTTTGAATATTATTTCTATTACAGTATGTAAAATTATAAATAGAATTCTACCTTTTCTGTGTGATATCGATAAATTTGAAGCAGATTTGAATGGATCCTCTTTATCTATATATTTTTCCAATTTTTCCAAACCAATTTGAATAATTTTTCTGAGATTATTGTTTATATTATTTTTTCACGGCATATATGTTTTTCAGATATATTAATGTCACAAAATTTTTATTAATTACTTACTACCGTTTAATATTATGTAAATACAAAAAGTATTCGCTTCTTTATTTACGAGAATTTTTTAAAATAAGTAGATATCTAATTTTTGGGATATTATCTTTCTTTTATATCATAAATTATAGGATCGCATGTGTGAATGTTAAAGAATTAACATTCTTATTTCTTTTCTCCATAAAGAATAAATCTCAATTAGACATACGACAAACGGACGGAGATGCGAAAACGTCCGACTTCGACGGTAGTAACCATTTTAATCCCGCTTCTTTTTTTCAATGAATCGGGCGACCAAGCAGGGGGCAAGTATCCACGGGAAGTCGATAGGGTGCTTCGACCTCGTGGCCTAGTTTGTGTCCCTGTGACGTCATACCGACGTCATTGCCCGGGGAAAACTAGGTCGGGCAGACCCAGGCGGACCACCGGAAGAGAGGTCGGAGGGTTTATTGAGAAATTCCCTCAACTGGATTCGGTCCTATCGGGGACAAATTTTAAATCGCCAGGAAGAAACTTTACTTTCCTTATATATTGCATTCGACATTAATAACAGTCGCATGCTTCGAATGTCTGTAAAACCAAAGCGCCTTTACCTTGCCCAGTGCTTTTCATAATTAAAAAACAAAAAGCAAGAATTATTATTTAGATTTTGACGATCAAGATGTAAATATTTTATCTTAATGTTAATATTATTAATATTAATAACTAATCTTAATATCAAGTATTGCTTTCTCTACTATTATGATTTGTTACTCGATGATATGAAAAACATTATAGTACTTAACATCCAAGTTTTATTTTTATTTGATGATTGCTTAATTTTTAACTTATAATATAGAATTTAAAATTTTATAAAATTATATTTAAGT